CAGTTCTACTCTGTCCTACAGTCACTATGAGTCAGAATCAACTCCACATCAATGGGCTAATCTTTAGGAAGCAGACTGCCACATGTTTCTCCTGCAGAATGGCTAGCGTGTTCAAACCACCAACCTTTTGGTTAGCAGGTTAGTGCTTCAACATTGTGCCACCAGGGCTCCTATCGTCTAATGTATAGTTCTTGTATATTTTTTCACACTGGTTTGGGTTCAACCTCCAATACAGTCATCGGGTGTGGGGGCCTTCCCTTGGTCCTAGAGCAGTGGTGGACAGCCCAGAGCAGAGACAGAACCTTGGTAACAGCTGGCCGCCTCCAAGGCCACATGGAGATCAGCAAGAAGCTGGGCCTGTTTGACTTCGTCACCATCAACGACAACCTGGACAAGGTTTACTCAGCCCTGAAAGAGGCCTTCTCTGAGGAAATCAAGAAAGCTCAAGGGACTGGCCACTCCTGAGGGGCACCCCAGCCTGCTTTCATGCCACAGGACGCATTCCATGCCTCACTCTCTAAACAAATAATTTCTTTTAGAAGGATCAGCACAAAGCTGGTTCCTATGAGGCAGAAGTCAAAGATGTCCCAAATGTCCAGCTTTTCCAAGCTGCTGTACCACTCCATCATCTCTAACATCAACTACTCCCTCTTCCCTCAGTACTCTAACTCCCATCTTTGGGTTCTCTAATTCACTGCAATGTCTCACAGAACTCACGAACCTTATAAAAGGAAATGGCTCACTCCGTTGTGGAGGCTGACAAGTCCCAAATTTGTGGGACAGGCATAGGCTTCTCCGTGGCCCTCAGTATCTGTCCAGAGGTACCTGCTTTCTTGCTCCCACTTCACTGTCTTCTGCTGGTCCCTCCCCGTGCCGGTCCCTCCCACTTTAGTGGGCCACAATTACCCTAGCACACAGTCCCACCCAGTCACCTGAGTGGGAATTACAAGACCATGGCTAGAAAGGCCACATGAAAAGCAATCCATTACAACACAGGCCTCCCCCTGGCTTTTCTAGCATGTTCTTTTATACTTGGAGGACAACCTCCCCCTCCCAATCATTTTACCAGTTCAAAATAGTCATTATCAATTAATCCTTCAATAGGGCAAAGAGTACTCAGGTACCAGCCATTCAGGTCTGCTGCAGGTTTCCATCTGATCTGGTCATGCTCTCCAAAAGTCATCTCATCTTCACCCTTTCTGGCCTCTGATAAAACTTAACGGAGAGAAGATTATTCCCGCGCTCTGAGCGTCATGAGGTATTAGCATAGCAAAACCTGTAAGGAACTTTAGGTTTGGCCACTGTACTCCAGTCTAGCGGTGCCTCCCCCTTAGTCCACTCTTTCACACAGCTTCAACAATTGCAGTTTTTACAATCACAATTAACCCTGTTACCAATCAGCACTCACTCATAGCTGAATCATATAATCCTATCAACATCTTCCCCCACTCTCTCTTCCCCAGGCTCATCAGGAAAAGAGGAATCTATTCAGTGGAATCCTCCCTTGTCCCCTTCATTTTGAGTATAAGTACACCTATGAAAGCATGTAAGCCAGACACTTCATACCTTCGTCTCCCCACCATTTTATTCAGCCAATGTTTAAATTGCCCGTCTGAGGAGACAAGCAGCTTCCTTGGTCTTGAAGAATCTGCTGTTGCAGTTGGAACTTCGAGCATCTGCATCCATAAGCAAAGTCAAGTCCAGAGTAAGCTAACAAATTGTAGCAATCTACACCAGCTCATAGTGTCAAAGTCCTTTCTCTTCATTCAGTCGGGTTCTGGTCAGCTCACCCCTAGCCATCCAAGCTAGGTCATGATGGGTAGCAGCCTTACTCAAGAGTTCACACACACCTCTTGGCACTTCAGACAGCCCCTTCACACTCTCATCCCTATCTCCCTTGGGCTAGGTCAATGGGTTCCACCTATAAACTTCCGGAATCCAACAACTCCTTTTACTTCTGACCAGCCAGCCCTTCCTCTCACTCTCCTCCCTAGCCCCCATGGCCTGGGTTAACGGGCGCCAATGGAACATGTCCGAACTCAGCCCATCTCTTCATTGCTGCACTTCTCCAACTTCTACTCATGGAGTGGACCCAGGTGGTCACCACAGGCAAGCTGACCAAGCTGCCTACTCGCTGGCTTCCTTTAACGTCTAGTCCTGGAAGGGGGCTCCTTCTGATGGAAAGCCTTGTCTTGCCTAGATGCGCCCAACAACAAACTGCTTGCTTGAAATTTTAAAAAGTTGCTTTTTTTTCTACAGATCCTTGCTTCACATGCAAATTCCAGATCTGTCAGCAGTTCTGGGAGGTTCTGCATGTCTTTTCAAAAGCAAATTTGAGTGCATCTCAGGTTTTTAACCTAAGCCGCTACTGTATACACAGGGCTACTGCATTCAGACCAACAGCCTGTGTTTCCCTGGGGCAAATCCTAGTTCCCCTTTGGGCATACTCAATCAAGTACTGGCTAAAGGCGGAGTTACATGCTCTCTGTAATCTATGATATCTGATGTTCATTTCTACCATACATTTAAGTCTGCTTTACAACACTAGGTAGGAGATACAATTAATATCTATAGTACATTCAGATAAATGCATAATTCCAAATGCACGATCCTTTTTAAAATATTCCAGTTTCGTTTTCTCTACCTTCGTATGCTTATGGCCTTGGCCCTCCAGCTGGGTGGTACCAGTAGACCCTAGCCCCTTTGTCAATCTTTACCTTAACTAGCTGAACCTCTGCTTCCAAGGGTCCCAGGTGGGAGTTTCTATCATTAAATACTTCCCTGCTGGGCTGAATAGGATGGAATTGTTTAGGCCCCTTTAACATTGAGGGTCCAGTAGGAATTTCCATTGGTCCACCCAACCTCCTGTAGTGCTGCCTTAGAGCCTTTGTCTCAATTCCATCAATGTCTGCTATATTCATCCCAATTTCTTAGTATCCATCTAAAAATCTCTGTCCTGCTGGGGTAAGTTCTTTCCCTATTACCTCTTCCCATTCTCCTATAAATCACCCTTAATGTTTCTTGAATCTGTAAGACCCATGTGGGGAAGCTGTACCAACAGATCTGACAAGGCTTCTCAGATTGTTTTGTTTCACAGTAGCAAGGTTACATGGGGTGTCCGTGTAGAAGGGGCTCCCCTGATTACCGTATCTACCATGACCTGTGTAAGGGGCATACTCATTGAATGAATATCCTGATCACTGTAAAGCCATTCCAACATGGCTTGCATAAGTAGCACATTGGCTGCTTCCTCTGGGGTGTTCCATGGGGTATTTAGAGGGGGAGAGGGGCAGTTTCCCTTCTCAGGGTAAACAAGTCTCACTGTGAATTTTATCCAGTCCACCAGGCTGGCTGTCCCCTCTGGGGTAACCTGCCGTGTAACTGGAGCTTGTATCATCATTCCTGACTGCTCTGCAGTGAGTTATGGGTCTTGCATCAACCCAAACGTACTCTTCCATCTGCAACATTCAACACTAAAGACACTGCCCCTAAGTTCAGTCACTCTTACAATCCATTTTAGTAATGGTTCCTCGGGAAGCTGACAATACTGATCTATAGATTGAAGCAATGCCTTTACACTATACCCCCTGGTTTCTGTAGTTTCTTGGGTTGTAGAGGAACTTCCTGTTGTTTCAACGCAATTTTTCCTTTCTGGGTAAGCCCCGAGACTAGCGGTTGTAGCTCTGACTGGACTGGATCTGGGCTTGGTTCAGTGCTAAAATCTGCCCCTGCATTCTTTTTCCCTGCAATTGCGGCCATTATGGATAACAGAAACCAAGGAATTTTATGTCTGGCCTTTTCCTTATGGCTCTGTGTTTCCATGTGCATCCAATTAGCCAGTTCCTCAAGAGTTAGGTCTACCCTTCCTAAGTCTGATGAATAGCTTTTGCCTTGGGTAACTGATAGCAATATAACAGCTGCTTCAATCCACGGGTGTTTTTATCCCATCCAGAAACCAAAGGTTTCTCATTCTCCTGTCTATCCGCTTTTTGTCCAAAGCCACATATTCCAGTGAGTCTGGGCCATTCCAGCGAAACCCACCATTCTGACACCAACTAAATGAATATAAGGATCAGCACAAAGCTGATTCCTGTGAGGCAGAAGTTAAAGATGTCTAATATCCAACTTTTCCAAGTCGCTGTACCACTCCATCATCTCTAACATCAACTACTCCCTCTCTCTTGAGTACCCTTCTTCTGTCTTTGTGTACCCTAATTCACTGCAAGTTCTCACAGAGCTCACCAACGGTATAAAGGAAATGCTCAGGCAGTTGTGGAGGCTGGCACATTTGAGATTCATGGATCAGGCATAGGCTTCTCCCTGGCCCTCAGTCTCTGCCCAAAGGCACTCAGCTTTCTTGCTCTGTGGGCCCAGAAGTCCCCTGTACCCTCTCCTGCCGGTCTCTCCTTCCTTGGTGGTGGTGGGCTCATCTCTTTCCTGCCTCTGGGGTGGCTCATTTCAAGCCCAGCAGGATGGCAAAACTGACCAATCCCCTTGGTGGGCCACAATTACCCTGTCACACAGTCCTACCCAATCACCTGGGTGGGAGTTATAAGACCAAGGCTAGAAAGGTCACAAAAAAAGCAATCCATTACACTGCACCCCCATTCCAAGGTGACCCCCACCTCGGGCTGCAGCTCAGCTCCTGGCAGCTCTGGCCAGTCTGCGCCCGGATGGCCCAGGAGGCTCCCACCACTCCTGGCCTGGCTCAGAGCCCACCCGTGAGTGCACTGCTGTCCTCAGTGACCACCATCCGGCGCCCTCTGATCTGCTCCCTGTCTGGCCAGAGCTGGGGCTGACATCGTCTTAAAATAACTACTGGGTTGGTTTGTGTGTGTGCACTTGTGTGTGTGACATTATATTTGTGGGGTAGAGGGAACCGTGGAGTGACAGATGGGGGCATTGCAGGCACCAGGACCCTCTTGAACTCACTCTCATCCTCTCCATCCAGACTCTGTATCCACTTCTTCATAATCCTTCTCCAGGGTGCCCAGGTTCTCTCAGACCTCCAAGAACTGCCCTTCCTCCATGCCCTCACCTACATACCAGTGCACAAATACCTGCTTGGCAAACATTAGGTCAAACTTGTGGCTGAGGTGGGTCTGGGCCTTGGTGATGGCTGTGGTATTGCTTAGCATGCAGACGGCCCGAAGTACCTCGGCCAGGCCTCTCCCAGGCACCTCTGTGGGGGCTGGTAGTTGATGCCAGCCTACGCCAGTAGGCTCCAGGGCCACAATGACAGCCCAGGTCACATGCCTGCCAGCCCCTGTCTCACTGAAGGTGTTGAAGGAGTCACCACTGTTCCCCAGGGTCTTGTTGCTGGACATAGTGCCATTGGGTTGGATGTTGTGCTCTAGGCTGTAGTGTTTCCAGCAGGCATTTCCCATCTGCGCCTCACCTGCATGGCCCACATGGATGAGGATATTCTCATGCATGATTTTCCTACTGGCAAAGTTTGTGGAGAGTCGGTGACTATAGACATGCTGAGAGTCTCCAGCAACACCATGACAGCACCTAACACCAACAACAAGCTTCTCATGTAACCTTTCAAGTTGCTGTTGTCAGTTTGATTCCACATAGATCTTTAAAAGAGCACAATGCTCATGGCAGATGTGCTTTACTAACTAATTAAGCTAAACTATTGTTTGGTTCAAACAAGACTTCAGGGGATAGTTTTGGTTTGAGTTTTAAGGTTTAGAGATTATCTCAGGGCATTAGTTTTAGGGGGTTCATCCAGTCTCACTTGCTCCAGAAAGTGTGGATTCCATTGAGAAGTTGAAATTCTGTTCTGCATTTTTTACCCTTTTGATCAGGATTCTTCTATAGAATCTTTGATCAAAATGTTAGTAGTGGTGGTTGTTAGCCTATCATTCTTGATGAGCAATATTTCTCTGTGCTGTTCCACTCATTTTCACACATGTGACTTTAAGTCTGTTCTTATGAGGTATGTGCTGAGTGATTTCTTTCTCACTTTAGCCTTCCTTACCTCCTCACCTTAGATACTAAAAGCCCCTTATGCTATCCTTGCACCAATGCTTGGAATCAAGGACTCCAAACATAGGCAATTTTCATGTTGTGCTTCTTCCTCCTTCCCATCTTCCTTTTGCTCCTTCGCCTATTCCGTGTCCACTCACTTGCCACTATGTTTAACCTGGAGCCCCGCAGAGAGAGTCAAGCATTGTTAGTATTCCAGCCACTTGAGTAATCTCCATCCTTGACCTTGTGCTGACTTGGCCCAATATCTCATCTATGTGATAGGGGACTCCCCTTTCGGTATTTCCCCATGAGTGTTACCTATCCCTAGTGGCTATTCTGCCCTTCCAAAAGGAACTCTGGGAAAAGCCCAATTGCTGTATTTGCTTCATCCTGTCCTGGTATTGCCACCAGTGTGCTATGCCCTACAACTCATCCACATATCTGTCCCAATTCTTCTTTTCCGCTACCTTCAATTCTTGAGTTGACCCCACCTGACTGCTCAACTCCGTCAATGAGAAGGACACACTAACCCACCATATGTCAGACATTATACTGGTTGACTAATACACCTTGGGGGACATTGGTGGTTCAGTGGTAGAATTTTCCCCTTCCATGCTGTAGACTCTGGTTCAATGCCCGGCCAATGTACCTCTGTGTGCAGCCACCATCCATCTGTAAGTGGAGGCGTGTGTGTGGATATGATGCTGAACAGATATTAGTAGAGCTTTCAGACTAAGACTGGGAAGAAAGTCCTGGTGATCTACTTCTGAAAATCAGCCAATGAAAACCTTACTGATCACAGTCGTCCAATGTACAACCCATCATAGCGATGGTGCAGGACTGGGCAGCATTTTGTTCTGTTGTGCATGGGGTTGCTATTAACAGGAGTCTGAACTGATGGTAGCAGTGATTAAGCGTTTGGCTGCTAACCAAAAGGTCGGCAGCTTGAATCCACCAGCTGCTCCTTGGAAACCCTATGGGGTAATTCTACTCTGTCCTATTGGATTGCTATGAGTTGGAATTGACTCAATGGCCACGGGTCTGTTTTTTTTTTTTTTTTTGTAACAATATACCTTATTTCATTTACACTTAACAACCATCTAAAAGAGGTACAGGCATTCCTCAGAGATATTGTGGGTTTGGTTCCAGACCACCACAAAAAAGCAAACATAACAATAAAGCCAGTCACATGAATTTTTTTTGTTTCCCAGTATCATACAAAAGTTATGTTTACACTATACTATAATCTATTAAATGTGCAACAGTATTATGTCTAAAAAAACAATATGCATACCTTAATTAAAAATACTTTATTGCTAAGAAACGCTAACCATCATCTGAACCTTCAGCAAGTGTAATCTTTTTGCTGGTGAAGGGTCTTGCCTCAATACTGATGGCTACTAACTGACACAGGAAGACTAGTTAATGCGACTATTAGTCAGATTTACACACCAACCACTAAGGCCAAAAATGAAGAAATTGAAGATTTTTACCAACTTCTGTGGTCTGAAATTGATCGAACATACAATCAGGATGCATCGATAATTACCATGATTGGAATGTGAAAGTTGAAACAAAGAAAAAGGATCAGTAGTTGGAAAATAAGTGGCCTTGATGATAGAAATGATGCAGAGATCACAAGATAGAATTTTGCAAGACAAACAACTTCTTCACTGCAAATACCCGTTTTCACCAACATAAATGGTGACTATACACATGGACCTAGCCAGATGGAATACACAGGAGTCAAACTGACTACATTTGTGGAAGCAGACAATGGAAAAGCTCAGTGTCGTCAGTCAAGACAAGTCCAGGGGCTGACTGTGGAACAGACCATCAATTGCTCATATGCAAGTTCAAGTTGAAGCTGAAGAAAATTAGAGCAAGTCCATGAGAGCCAAAGTTCGACCTTCAGTATATCCCACCTGATTTTAGAGACCATCTCAAGAAAAGATTTGACACATTGAACACTAATGACCAAAGACCAGATGAGTTGTGGAATGACATCAAGGACATCATACATGAAGAAAGCAAGAGGTCATTAAAAAGATAGGAAAGAAAGACAAGACCAAAATGGATGTCAGAAGAGACTTTGAAACTTGCTCTTGAACATCCAGAAGCTAATGCAAATGGAAGAAATGAAGTAAAAGAGCTGAACAGAAGATTTTCAAAGGGCTGCTTGAGAAGACAAAGTATTATAATGAAATGTGCAAAGACCTGGAGATAGAAAACCAAAACAGAAGAACATGCTTGGCATTTCTCAAGCTGAAAGAATGGAAGGAAAAATTCAAGCTTGGAGTTGCAATTTTGAAGGATTCTACTGGGAAAATATTAAATGATGCAGGAAGTATCCAAAGAAGATGGAAGGAATACACAGATTCACTATAAGGAAAAGAATTCATTGACATTCAACCATTTCAAGAGGTAGCATATGATCAGGAACTGATGGTACTGAAGGAAGAAGTCTAAGCTGCACTGAAGATTTTGGCAAAAAACAAGGCTCCAGGAATTGACAGAATACCAGTTGAGATGTTTCAACAAATGGATGCAGCACTGGAAGTGCTCACTGGTCTATGCCAAGAAATTTGGAAGACAGCTACCTGGGCAACTGACTGGTAGAGATCCATATTTATGCCTATTCCCAAGAAAGGTGATCTAACCAAATGCAGAAATTATTGAACAATATCAATAATATTACACTCAAGTAAAATTTTGCTGAAGATCATTCAAAAGTGGCTGTAGCAGTACATTGACAGGGAACTGTCAGAAATTGAAGCTGGATTCAGAAGAGGAAGTGGAACCAGGGATATCATTGCTGATGTCAGATGGGTCTTGGCTGAAAGCAGAGAATACCGGAAAGATGTTTACCTGTGTATTTATTAACTATGCAAAGGGATTCGACTGTGTGGATCATAACAAATTATGCATAACATTGTGAAGAATGGGAATTCCAGAACACTTAAAATTGCTATGAGTCAGAACTGATATGAGGAACGTGTTCATAGATCAAGAGGCAATTGTTCAAACAGAATAAGGGAGTACTGCATGGTTTAAAGTCAGGAAAGCTGTGCATCAGGGTTGTATCCTTTTGCCATACTTATTCAATCTGTATGCTAAGAACGGGGCATCAGGATTGGAGGAAGACTCATTAACAACCTGCATTATACAGATGACACAACATTGCTAGCTGGAAGTGAAGAGGACTTGAAGCACTTACTGATGATCAAAGACCATAGCCTTCAGTATGGATTACACCTCAACATAAAGAACACAAAAATCTTCACAACTGGATGAGTAAGCAACAACATGATAAACGAAGAAAAGAGTGAAGTTGTCAAGGATTTCATTTTACTTGGATCCACAATCAATGCCCATGGAAGCGGCAGTCAAAGGACACATTGCATTGGGCAAATCTGCTGCTAAAGACTTCTTGTAAGTGTTAAAAAACATAGATGTCACCTTGAAGACTAAGGTGCACCTAACCCAAGCCATGGTGTTTTCAATCACCTCATATGTATGTGAAAGCTGGATGATGAATAAGGAAGACCGAAGAAGAATTGACACCTTTGAATTGTGACGTTGGCAAAGAATATTGTGTATGCCATGGACTGCCGAAAGAACGAACAAATCTGTCTTAGAAGAACAACCAGAATGCTCCTTAGAAGCAAGGATGGCTCACATACTTTGGACATGTTATCAAGAGGGATCAGTCCCTGGAGAAGGACATCATGCTTGGTAAAGTAGAGGGTCAGTGAAAAAGAGGAAGACCCTCAACAAGATGGATTGACAGTGGCTGCAACAATGGGCTCAAGCATAACAACAATTGTTGGGAGGGCTCAGGATCGGACAGTGTCTCGTTCTGTTGTGCATGGGGTTGCTGCGAGTCAGAACTGACTGGAAGGCACCTAACAACAACTGCTGATCCAAGGTGGTGGTTGCTGAAGTTTGGGGCGACTGTGGCAATTTCGTAAACGATGAAGTTTGCCGTATCGATCGACTCTTCTTGTCACTTGCACACCTAGAGTCCATTGTTGGGTTAGTAATTGGCCTAATTTCAATATTGTTGTATCTCAGGGAATAGGGAGGCCTGAGGAGAGGAAGAATGATGGGGACAGCCAGTTGGTGGAGCAGGCAGAACACACACAACATTTATTAAGTTTGCCATCTTATATGGATGCGGTTTGTGGCGCCCCAAAACAATTACAATAGTAACGTCAAAGATCACGGATCACCGTAACAGATATAATAATAATGAAAAAGTTTGAAATATTGTGAGAATTACCAAAAAGTGACACAGACACATGAAGTGAACACATGTTGTTGGAAAAATGGCGCCGATAGATTTGCTGGACGCAGGGTTGTCACAAACCTTCCATTTGTACAAAACAAAATGTCTGTGAAGTGCAATAAAGGGAAGCACAATAAAACGAGGCATGCCTGTATTATTCATTTACAAGGA